GCGCCCGCTTTCCTGCCGGCCTGAGCCACCGAGCAGCCGGGGATGAGCTGCGGCTCCCAACGGCCTGACAGCCAGCCCGGTCCTCCCGCCACGTCTCACCTCGCTCTCAGCCACCGCTACTTGAGTGACAGTCTCCCTCGGACATCACCCATTGAGCAAACTTTCCGCGCGTCTACTCTCCGATTGGCTGCGGTCACTGCCACTCCGGGAATCCAAGCTGGTCCTGTTGCAGAAGGTGGGCTTTCCCCGGTTGTCAACATCACGCCTGCCAATCAAATCGTACTGTCTCCTCCGAGGCCCGGCCCTGTTCCGGAAGCGCTTAGCCAAAGAACACTTGAAGTTCATTGGTGGAAGCGGATGCCCCTCAAAGCTCTGAGCTAACTTCTTCCTGATTGGCTGGAAGCGGCACTTAATACGTGGCCAATTCTGACTGTGGAGAGGTCGGTCCCTAGTGACGGGAAGAGTTGGAAGCGAGTGCCGGTGCTTTAGAGGCGGAAGCCCTTAAAGGAGCTGCCACAATGGCTCTTCTAAAGCCTGGTGTGTTTGGAAAGGCAAAAGCGAGGCGGGAAACATAAGTGACTGCACAAGCCGTGTAGTTAGAAGTGAAGGGATGAAGCGGTTTTAGAACGCCATATCGCGTGCAGTCCCTAGGGCGATGAGAGGTAAGGCTTTTTAGAGATGCCTGCGATCTAACAGGTGATCCTGTCAACTCCACACGCCCCTTCCCCTTCGGAATTCGTCCGACGTCGCAGAGCAGAATCGCGACTTTAACCTGAGCCTTCTGACCCTGCTGTGGCATCGGACTTTGAAGAAGAAAGAGAGAAAACTGCAAAAGTCAAAACTGGAGAAGATTTGACTGTTCAGCTAAGGAATTGGAACCTCATGCACCAGTTAAGGACACCCAGAAGATTTTTGAGCAGAGGCGTGAGAGGATGAGAGTTGTGGTTTAGTCAGCAGTGTATTCAAAAGAATGGCATCAAAGATGAGGAGAGTACCTGGGAAGCTATTGTCCCATCAAAACTCTGTGAAAGGGGTAATAGGGGATAAGGACACATATGTAATTCCTTGATCAAAAAAAAAAAAAAAGAAAACTGAAGATTTTTTAAAGATACTGGCATAAACATGCTGTAATTTTTTAACATCCAAAAACAAAAACAAAAAAAAACCTACTTCCCCCTCCATCTCCCACCACATTTTCTTGCTCCTACAAGTACAGCAAAACTTACAAGTTGTTCTAAACAACTTGCCTTCAATTTTTCTCAACACACAAGTCAGGCTTTCATGCCCAGAATCCACCAGATTGCTCTTGCTGAGGCCTCCATTGCTCATTCAAACAATTCTCAGTCTTCATCTTATCTATCTATTTATATATCTATATCTTTATTCTATATATATAAGAGGCTAATATGTAAAGTGTTCCTCGGGAGTTCAACTGGGAGACTGGGAGTTTGATCACTCACTATGATGTGTGCTGACCACCATAGGGTGGCACAGAATGCCCCGGCCAACAGCCAGAAGGCCCTGATCAGCCCTGATCGCTGGCCAGGCCTAGGGACCCTACCCATGCATGCATTTCCTGCACAGGGCCTCTAGTTTATATATATAAAAGGCTAATATGTTAAGTGTACCTCCGCCCAATGGACCTGTGACTATGACACGCACTAACCACCAGGGGGCAGATGCTCAATGCAGGAGCTCCCAAGACACACATTGGTCATTTACACAGAAACTGCAGTGCAGACCTGACGCCAACAAAGCAATGCTCATCTTCCCCCAAGTGGGACACAAGCCCCGCCACCACCCCAGAGTGACACCCCACCAAATCTAAGCCAATGCTGCCATGGTGCAATATGGGGCCACAGCACAGCCCAGCACAGTCTGGAAACAGCTGCTGTGCAAGCTGGGTAATGACGTCATATAGCAATGCCCAGCTTTCTCTCCCTAGCAACTAGCCTCCTTGGAGTTTCTTCAAGCCCAGGAACACGACTTGCTTTATAGCCAGGTGCAGACATTTCACACTTTGACCAAATGTCTGTAGAGCATTTTCCCGTGCCTCGCCTCATTTGATCCTCACAGAAGTCCTGGAGTAGGTAGATAGGAGACTCAGTGGAATCCTATTTTCTTTTCATTAGCCAGAAAATGGAAATTTAGAAAGCTTAGAAACTTGACCTGACTGAAAAGAAGAAATGGTAGACCTTGAAAATGACTTCAGGTTTTCTTACTGCACAGAATATAGTCAAACACTGCTGCAGTAAAGTATTTTACCCTTTGTTCTCTCTCCGTGATCTACAATAATAATCTGTTTTGTGTTGATATTTACTGCTGTGTTGCTGACAATTACCTGAAAGAGAAGTTGGGGTGCTTCACTGGGCTGGAAAAAGTTTATCTAAATCAGAAAGCAGGTCTATTTAAGCAAGTTTGTTATCTACACTAATAAAAGACAAAGATGCTAATTGACCATACCTTCACTACTCCCACCAGCCAATCAGAAGAGTATGCAAATCAACCCAAGAAAGATGGCGGTTAATTTGCATACACATGTACCCCGTGAAGACTGAAGACAGTGTAGAAGGAAGCCAAGCGGTGGAGAAGGGACTGGATCAGAGGTAGCAGAGACAGGAGCAGAGCTGAGGCAGCGGACACGGGAGGGAGCAAAGTAGCAGAGAAGGGAGGGAGAGAGGCGGTGGAGATGGGAGGGAGCCTCTGGCTTCGCTCCCTTCTCTGCTTCGCTCTGGACTCAGGAAGCCCTGTTCTTGCAGGAATCTTCCTGCAACAGATCTCTAGTCCTGTCTAATAAAAGAGAAACATGGTAATTAGCGTACGACCGCTACCCTTCCCATTGGCTAATCAGCACGATATGCAAATTAACTGCCAGCCAAGATGATGGCCTGCAGCCAAGCAGCTGGAAGCGAACATGAGGCTTGCTTGCTTCAGTGACGGAGGACTCCAACGTTCCCCGCCTGTCTTGCCAACCTCTGAGCTTGCAGTTTCAAACATTGTAACAAATATAGAAGCTAAACAAAACTCCAGAAACCTGCTTTCAGCCGGCCGGCCAGGATTCAGAGCTGGAGTTAATACAGTGTCTCGATTATAGAACCCAAACAAACCAGATACCTGCTTTCAGCAGCAGAGGCCTCAGAGCTGGAGCCAGAGCTAAAGGTGGCCCAGAATTAAAAAAAGAAAAAAAGTAAAAAAGGAGCGGTTGGGAGCATCAGTCACCATCCAGCCTGAAAACAGCCCTCAGCCCCTCACCCAGACTGGCCAGGCACCC